TATATCAAGTCACTGTTCAAGCATAACCTGAATGCTGCGGCTACTGGGCCCTCCAGCTGGACATTGATGTCCTTCTAAAATTTCTGATAAACGGACTGGTCTGGCTTCATTCACGGACCCTTCTGTTTGCTCTCACAACAGCAATTTCTTTCTCCTTCCGCAAAGCTTGTTTCCTTCTTTTCTCACTTGTCCATCAGCGATCGAGATGTGCTAATGTTTTTGGGTTTTTTCTTGTGACTATCAGTTTTGCGATCGCACAGATGTGTATGAAGCTGTGTTCACCGATCTTTAACCATCCGTTTTCGACGTGTAATTGACCTGGTTTACTGATGCTTCAAGTTTTATATTAGTAACGATAAACAGGCAGCAACACTAGGCAAGGCACTTACTATATGCTGCGAAAATTTTTTTGTTCCTCTGATCTTTCATAAAGTCACAAAATGCCAGCTGACTCGTTAATCTAATCACAAGGACAAAAAATTGTTGATTCCTTTTTTGCTGATAATTGCAAAGGTTGCACATAGAAATGCTATACCCCTTGCTCACCACCGTGGACACTTGTTTGCCTACTCTGGTTCTTGGTCATGTCCATTCACCACAACTAGAGTCCAAGCCAACTATTTTGCTTTCTTCTCTCGCGCCAGCGAGTAGACGAGCAGTAATCTAGTTCCTCTCATGCTTGCTGGCTTGTTTATTTCTTAGAATTCAGCATCTGTCTCTGCAGCGAATGCTCTGAAATATCACTCTTTTTGAATCTGCTATAGATATTGTAACCCATAGCCTAGGGCATTATTTTGTTTCACAGACTTCAGAAGGCGCAGGCCTGGGTTTTGAACTTCTAGTAATTGGTCACATGGTCTCGTATTACTGCATTCCTACCTGATTAATACTATTGAATTTTATAAGTGACAAGATCCCTTTGGGCTCGCCCATGCAATTACGTCCAAATAAATTTTCTTCCTTTCATGGAGTTGAGTAGAGTACAGTGAAATGCAGCACGGCCCGAAACCACAGCTTTCATGCCTCACATTGTTCGAGATCCGCGCAGTTTCTGACTTGGCCGCTGGAAATGTATACAGTACTGGGAAGCAAATTTCTCTCTATGCATGATGCGATTCCGCACTTTGGCAACTGCTGGATAAGCTTACGTTTTTTCAAAGATCTCATAACCCCCAACCTGACAGAGACTGCCTTTATGTGGAGCCAACAATGGCTTTGTGTTCTAATGAATGCCTAATCTACTTTTCTCTTGCGTTTGTCCAGAATTGCCAGACGGTCTCAACATGCGAAGGGAATTTCTCAAGTTCAGCATGCACTTGCATCTTGGCTATGCTTATTGTGTCAAGGTAGAACAGACCACTTTCCAGCATCATCAAAATGTTTGCACTTTGTTTGTATTTATAAGACGAACAGCTTGATTCGCTTTATTTGTTCTGCCACATTCGGGGATAATCTTCCACTATTTTTTGTTTATCTTTGGCATCTTTGCTATACTTCCTCCGGGATGCACGCTATATACCTGAAACCTAAAGGAATCAAAGTGTGAGAAGTCGAGGTCTCGCTCATATAGCGATTAACCTATTGTCATCGAATGCTTTTGGAGCCATAACGATTGTAAATTCATTTGTATACAATGTCGCTAAATGTTCGCCGCAAGCGGAACAAGCAGAAGTTGGCATGCTGATTAGCGCGTAATCCACTGATTCTAATCAGGGCTCGGCACGAGGTGGCTTACAAGCAAGTTGGATATCGTTTTTGGGACGAAAAGCAAAGGGGGTTTCGTTTTTGTGACCGAAGAGACATGCAAAATTGGCTATTTGGCGACGTTTTTTTTAGTCGACGTTTCGTTTTTTGGAGGATTTTTAGGGAATATGGTGGGGGGTCAAAGGGGACTTCGTAAAATTACCCAAAAGTCAAGGGGGACTTCGTTTTTTGCATTTTCATCTAGCCACCTCGTGCCGAGCCCTGATTCTAATGTAAGTGGTTCGCCAATGACTGAATCCAAATCTACCTCGCTTGTCTGCGGAACATCTCTGGGCGAGGAGATGTGAGGGTTTACAGCAATGTGATTGAGCAATTATGCAGCAATTATCCAAAGTTTGCACACTTGTAACAATTTCCTTGAATAACAGTTGGCGAGTCGCTATGCTTCCTAGCGATGCTAAACAAATACCATTGTTGACGTGTTACGATACATTTTAACAAGGGAGAGGGGGGGGGGGGGCTCAAATTGTACTTTTAAATTTGGTCGCAAAGATAACAAATGGCCCAATCGAATCTGATTTGACTGCACTGAATGAGAGTAACCTGTGATGATCAGATGTCTCCACGAATAGTCATTTTCAGATTTTATTGAACTTTTGATATTGCTTCAGATCGATTATCTAATATGTGGTGTGAAGTACTCCACGTATTACAGGGTGCACCAAAATTATTTGCGCCAAATTTGCGGGAGTGCCTCAAAAAAAACTACTCGTGGTTTTTATTTCAAAATTTACATGGTAGAATGCTGCAATCATTCTCTACTAAATAACATTTTATGAGCCAAAGTGATCGCCCTACCTCTGTGCAAATAATGACATTGTCGCGCTAACACTTTTGAAAAGCGCAAAAAAACCCTGTTTTCCCGGATCGTGAAATATGTGAAAGTTCTTACATGGGTTACAAAATTGTCCAAATGATTTGTCTGCACTTGTAAATAATTAAAATAATTTTTAAAAATTCATTTTAGCCTTATAAAAAATTTTTAGTCGGGGGCGTGTGCGTGGCTAACGTCACGCACCATCTTCGGAAAATTTTTTTCGTGCCCCCTCCCCCGAGACGAAATCCTGGGTACGCCATTGTTTTCCGGTACTTATGATTCATTCCGTTACTGAAGATTCTTGAGACGTTTTGAGGGGATTTTATGTCCACACTGTAGAGGAGGCTTTGCGCTATCGAAATGTAGTGCTTGCGGTCACCAACAATCATTTTCGCAAAAATGGCGATAAAAAGTACGCAAATGCCACCAGCGTGTCAGTGCCGTTTTGTTTACAAATCACATTTGTATGCTATTGAAACTATCTGTCACCTGAATTAATGCTAGAGTGCTTCCACAAAGCTTCTAGATAAATGCTCACTTCTTTACCATTAATGAAATTGACCTCAAATCTGATTTAGAGTCAATTTCCGCTTTTCTTTTGTTCATTCGTACCCCCAAAATGAGCAGTTTTTGCGCATGTGGCAAACATATGACTTTGGTTAAACGTCAATAATTTTCTTGCCAGACAATCCTAAATTTTGCGCTTCCAGTGTTTTGCAGCCAAAAGCTTACTCTATCATGTGGTGTGTTCCTTGAATCATAAGAGCATTTTTCTATGAAGAGGCAGAACGATTCTCTGAAAATATACCTGCGTGTTGCGCGCAACTTATTCAATAAAATATTTTGTTTTTTCTGGAGTTAACTCGAATTCCAATTCATGCTATAGCCTCTCAATGATAAAGCATTACTGAAACAATAGCTTCTTGCCTATCGCTGATTTCGTCTTGGACGAGTTTCGCGTTGCAGAATAAAATCTCGTTGCAAATAATTCTGGCGCACCCTGTATACATAATGAGGAGTATGTTTCACAAGCAAATCTCCTCCACTTCTTTTGTTACAGAGATGTCTCTACCTAACACAGGGTGTAAAAATCACGTACACACTGCCCGATTGTTAATCTTTTTTATGCTGTTGAGAGCATTGGATACATCGTGTGAGCTGGCTACTACTTAGAGTTACAGTAGGGAGCGATTTACCGGTCGTTCTACTACTGTAGATTGTGCTAAGAACTTGGGAGAGCGTTTTAGCCATTGAGCTACATATTTTATCTTGGAAGAGGGAAACAAACAATTGAAATATGTGTCACTAGCGTAAACAAAATCGCCTTGGAGTCATCCAAAGAGTACGGAATTCACAATATAAGGTAAGGTAATGCTTCTTATAAGTTAATCCATATGCTGTAACAACAGCTCTTCTCCAATGCTCCTTGGAGGTAATCACTCCACCCTAAAAAAATTGCCAACTTTGTTCAGCGATATAATCATGCGTAAGGCCTCGGACAGAATTCACGCGATTTGGTCATCGCGATTCAATCGCTACAGACAAGTGTTACGAGTTCATTGCATGCCGACCTTCTTGTATCTCGGTTGTGATAGTTTTCCAACACGACTAATCGAGACTAACTATCACAACCGAATTACAAGAAGATCGGCATGCAGTGAACTTGTAACACTTGTCTGTAGCGATCGAATCGCGACGATCAAATCGCGTGAACTCTGTCCGAGGCCTAAAACAGCTACACAGCTTTCCAGATTTTTCTTTGAAGTTTTGTTCAAAACAATAATCCTGTAGTGAACAAAACCTATCGCTGAACCGGTTCATACTGCAAATCTAAGTCAAAGCCAGCTCTACGAGTGATGCCTAGAGGTCGGCAAAAGACTAGGTGAAAAGAGAGATACCACCAATCAAACTATGTGTACATACTTTTGAGACACCCTTGAAATCTGCAAGCGTTATATAATGGTATCATTTTTCAAGGAACTTACCTGACTAGCAATTTCATCTCGAATATTACCTCAACATCCTTGCAACATTTGTAACCACTTTGTTGTCCACAAGCGAAGTTTTCCTAGGTATTTCCATGTGTGCGGAAAAGATCATTATATAAAAGGAAAAATAGAGTAGAGAGTTCAAGTTTAAGTCAGCAACGTCTTACAGTTTGCATTATATTGCATTTGCATTTTGGTCTTTCTTGACTCCTGCAACATCTTCCAAAAAACAAGAGGCAGTGAACTTCGCCTGCTCCAAGTCATATTTCTGCCTCTTAACACAATTCGAGAATTCGTTCACTATTAGAAATGTCGTACAGCAGGTTTTGTTTATGAATTGGTGGCAATGAGACATAAAGGCGGTGCTCAAATCGCGAGAGTTCTGTCATCGCATTGTCATTTGTACGTATTCATAAGTAGTACTGCTTTCCAGAACCGATCGGGTGAATGGCATCGATCTCACCACAGACACAAACAGGTGCCAAAAGAGATTTCCATTTAATCAATAAAAATATTTTCTCACGATTTTAGCCTTACTTTACGGCACAATCTCAACTCTTATTGTTTCTTTGCTCTCACTTTCTGGTGCATTTCTCGTTCCACTATTGAAGGGGAAGGCCAAACACAGGTAAGTAAGCATGTTGCTAGATGATAGTGTTTTATCGTATAAAGGCAAGAATAAGAGATTGAATTTTTCAGATGGATGCACTTTTTTGTAGCTATGGCCGTATCCACTCTTAGCTCTGATGCCATTCTGCATGTTATTCCAGAGGTCGGTACACCAGAAGAATTCCGTATGAGAGCTGGGAGATGACTAAAACAACGTTTGTTACCCTTTTTGATTTTGAAGTGTTACAGCTAACAAACGCCCATGTTCACCACCACGTTGGTCATGAGCTTGGTCACGAGCACGGCCATGAACATCACCTTGAACATACTGATCACTCTGTCACTCAGCTTCAAAACAACACACAGGTACGGTTGAGAGTTTGTAATCAGCCAAATCGGTATGCTTAACTAAGCAGGTTTCGTTTTTTCTATCAGGCTCCCTAAAGTAAATCTCTTCTTTTAGTAGGTTCAAACTGTTTTCGTTCTCTTAGCAGACTTATGCTTTGAAAAACTATTCGATGAGCAAAGCACAAGCTTTACAAAATGAGCTTCAAGATATATATCGCAAACGAGGTGAAGCTTGAAGCCAAAATCAAAATTTTTCTACTCCCCAGAAGACTGGACCTCTCTGCAGAGAATTTCTAGACGCCTACGCCTTGTTCATAATGCGTAGACAAATATGGTATTTATAAATGCATTTGCTGCGCGGCCCAAAATCAAGAAGCAAAACTAGTATTAGTTCCAAAACTCAAACATTTCTTAGGTTTTTTGATGTGAAGGTGTTTTTCGATTACCACAGTAAAAGAGGTAGAATTCCTAGGGTATACTTACTAAAGCTTGCAGTATATAGACAAATAGCCGGGAGCAAATTTTGTCATTTTTGCACCAACTTTATTTTCTCGACTGTACGAAAAATTTCATTAAATGCCGTTATGAATGCTACTACTCTAATGTATGACGACCAATTTCAAGCTTCGTAGGACTTTTTGGCGAAAATTAAAATTCAAGTAAAAGAATTTAATCTTGGCTTCAAATACATGACTTGCAACTTGAGTGGATTTTTGGTTTCATTTTGTAGAGCTTGCTTTGCTCTACCGAAATGTGCCTTTTTGCTAGAAAAGCAAGCAAAGTTGGATTCAATCAAAAAGAGCTTTATTTTTGGGTAACCTAAAAAAAGTAGTCTCTTTTTTGAGATTGAGAGCCTGTAATAACAGCGTCCAAAATTCACTATCATTCAATGATCAAAACCGTTAATAGCTTTTTGGCCTTATTCCTAAAATTTTTTCTGGTTTGACTGCGACTACGAAGAACTTTCAAAATACTTCCACTATGTCGTGTCAAATATTAGGTTGATGCAAAAGAAATGGCCGATTTTTCACGCCTTTTTTCAGGGCGACTTTTTTCATCAATACTTCTTTTTTGCAACAGATATAGTACACCATCGCGAAGCTGTTGTACTATACTCTATCTAACGGTGCTTGGAACGGGCTCTCATTCTCATCTCTTATAAAGTTACTGAGCTCCAAATAACCGCATCCAAATTCAGAATTTCATTGCATTCACTTTTCCGGCCAGAATTCAAGCGCGTATCAATAAGATTTCTTCGAAAATTCAGCTTTTGTATGTAATGGAAATTCTCTACATTATGCATACTTAAGTGCATTCTTTGAAGTTATCCAGACTGAGATATCGGCGCCTAAACATGGGTAGCTATTGCGGTCATTTTATGACCCATAATTTATCCAGACTGAGATATCGGCGCCTAAACATGGGTAGCTATTGCGGTCATTTTATGACCCATAATTTTCTTCTGAGGAAGTCAGTCGCCGAAGCTTTGCTCAATTCTGTAAGCGTAGAGCTAGGACATTTATTAGCAGTTTTTGCAATAACATCCAGCTGTTCAGTACGTAAAAAATCAGAAAATTCTATATTCCTGACTTTGAGGCACACTGAAAAAAAAACGGAAATTTTAAGTTTCAATTTTTTCTTTCTCGCAAACTATTTTGTCCAAACTCTTTTTATTGTATTTTGTACTACTGGCTTGCGGCTACAAGATAGGCTACTTTTCATTCATATAAATAAACTCTGAAGGAAGTTATGAATTGTCAAAAACAAGGTTTTAGCAGAAGAACCTCTTTGTCTTTTAGTCCGTATTTCTCTTCTCGTTTATAATGTGAGTATAATTAAGTATGCGATGTATTGGGAAAGGTTTGCTGCTTCTGAGAGTCTTTACCGCATTCAAAAATGTGCATCTTTTAAAAAGTTATAGCACGTCAAAGTGAGAATTCGCAAATCGGCCATTCCTTTTGCATCAACCTAATAAGTCATTGAAATTCTGCAAACCGAGCTCAAAAACTCTCCTTTACCACTTTACATCCTTAGAATTTAATGGGTTTTGTAACTCTGATCTCGTACGATTTGCAAAAGTTTATGACGAATAATGGGTTTTCTCGTAAGTTTTATTGGACAACTTTGACAGCAGAGTTCGCATATGGCTACTGTAGGCAATAAAACATTGGAACTTGTACCGAGATCAACAGTGCCATTCTTTCAGCTAGATTCGACTATGAGGGATTCTCTTGCACTTTTCAGCCTAAAGACGTATTTGCAGCTAGTTGGGATACTCGGCTTCGCTCGGCCCTGTCAGCACAACATATTAGAATTTACAATTCCGTCTCACTTTACACACCATGTCCTGGCTCTGTCCCACTTCTAAATGTCCTTACCGTCCGTATTACAATCAGCATGCTTACTTATCCCCACCCCTATCGCTACCAGCCCAGTGGATCAAGGTTAAAGAAAAATCGATAAAATCGATCAAAGCAATGGGTATTTTTACAAGCGGTTGTTATATTTGTAACCAGCATGCTGACTCCCCCCCCCCCCCCCGCCGCCGTAGCTCAAGTTTGCAAATTTCTATATACAGTGACCGCCAAAAAGTTGCGGACAAGCCTCCCTCCCTTTTTCATCGCTCTTTTTCAGAGGGAAAACAAGGATGAAAAAACGCTCTTCAAGATCTACAGTCTTCACTTTGAGCTTTTTGAGAAACATGTATTCTAAAAATTTTAAGAATTTTTTTCTTAAAAAAGTCCGAAAATGGCCGCGTCACAATGTCGCGGACAATAATTCTTCGAACGCAAAAATTTTCATTTGAGTCTTATTTTGAACGGAAACACAAGTTATCCAGACGGGTAAGCATACTACTATACAGAGCTCGTCAAGAACTACACACTGATTATGGTTGCTTCCCCAAAAAACGCAAGCTTGATTTTTATTTTACTTTTTTCAAAAAACAACTTCTAATTTCCTCTATCAAGCCAAATTTCCTCACACGGAAATCTGTTCAAGACATCCCAACAAAGCCGTCTGGATAAAATAGGTGCTCTTTGCCATCCTCTATGCATTCGACATGTGGTAATGAGTTTCTTTGCTGAAAATGGCCCTTGGCAGTGCTTGCACATGACCCTACCTGCACCTCACCACTGACTTGTACCGCTTGGCAGGCTTGTATCTCGGCCTGCAGTCAATTTTGAGTTTGCAATTAGGCTCATTCGAAAGAACGGGACTTCCTCTATACGATGATATGCAAATGAGTTGAGTTTTAGAAATTTCAGAGATTTGGAGGATGGGGTAGTAGAGGGCAGCTTCAGTTGTAGTCTGAGCAATTTTCAGCTAAAGTTGAAGAGAGCTCCTTTCGCTACCAATTTCATCCTGGAAGTTCAAAACTGTCAATTTTCTTGTAATAGATCCATTTCGAGGCTCTAAAACTGCTCTGGTGTTCATAAGAGCTTTCACTCCAATCACCTCTGAGGCTGCATTTTTCACCCCATCCGCCAAATCTCTGAAATTTCTCAAACTCAACTCGTTTGCATATCATCGTATAGAGGAAGTCTCGTTCTTTCGAATGAGCCTAATTGCAGACTCCTCTTATAGTGTCTGGCGGCCGAGTTACAAGCCTGCAAAGCGGTACAAGTCAATGGTGAGGTGCAGGTGGGGTCATGTGCAAGCACTGCCAAAGGACATTTTCAGCAAAGAAACTCATCAGCACATATCCGATGCACAGAGGATGGCAAAGAGCATCTATTTTATCCAGACGGCTTTGTTGGGATGTCTTGAACAGATTTCCGTGTGAAGAAATTTGTGATAGAGGAAATCAGAAGTTGTTTTTTGAAAAAAGTAAAATAAAACTCAAGCTTGCGTTTTTTGGGGAAGCAACCATAACCAGTGTGTAGTTCTTGACGAGCTCTGTATAGTAGTATGCTTACCCGTCCGGATAACTTGTGTTTCCGTTCTAAAATAAGACTCAAAAGAAAATTTTTTCGTTCGAAGAATTATTGTCCGCGACATTGTGACGCGGCCATTTTCGGACTTTTTTAAGAAAAAGATTCTTAAAATTTTTAGAATACATGTTTCTCAAAAAGCTCGAAGTGAAGACTGTAGATCTTGAAGAGCTCTATCACCTCATGCAATTAGTACATTTTTTCATCCTTGTTTTCCCTCTGAAAAAGAGCGATGAAAAAGGGAGGGAGGCTTGTCCGCAACTTTTTGGCGGTCACTGTATATAAAGCAGAAAATCTGTGAGTTTGTTTGTACGCATTCGGGTGCAGGTTGTGCAGGATGTGCAGGGTGTGCAGGTGGGCAGGGTATGCAGGATGGGGAGTTTAGGCTGATAGATTGGCTCCAGACCGGAGTGAAACCCGGGATGCCTGCTCGTAATCAATAGAATCGGTATACCTCGATAACGAAAAGTAGCATATGAACAAAACAAGGAAAGTTAATATTAGGTTGGCACGAAAGTTCTTGCGTAATTCAAACAAAATTCAATAACTTTTCAAAGACTAAACCAAAATTCACAGTCTTGTATGCTAAAAATATTAGAAGCCTTACGCTTCATGAGGGATGTTTAAGCATAAGATTCCTTAAGCTGGACATCAAGAACGAAGCTCTCGAATATGGGGCTTCAAATTTTGCTATTTTGAGTTTGGTGCCAGAAAATCGCAGAGTGCCGCTAGCTAGCTGAAAAAAATCTGTAGAATTTACTTACACAACAAAAGTCCATATGTTACTTTGAAAGGCTTTGATCTTGCACGGTCAAGCAAAAACAAAAAAATTCGTGAAGTATGTCATTTTGCGGAAAAAATCCCCCCATGTCCGCAGTTTTCCGGCGAAAATACTTTTTTACAATCGAGAAAACGTCGCAAGGCTCTAAATAGGCACTATGTCAAATTTCTGGTTGCGGACTGTGTTTCTGTGGAAAAATTAGAGCGATAAGGGTATTTGTCCTGTGAAATGAGAAATTTCACAAATTTTTTGTTCTCGCATTTCCATGCAAGATCAAAGCTTGCTAAAATAGCGTATGGACTTTTGCTGTGTAAATAAATTCTACAGATTTTTTTCGACTAGCTAACGGCCCTCTGCGATTTTCTGCCACTAAACTCAAAACCGCAAATTTTGAAGCCCCACTTTAGAGAGCTTCGTTCTCGATCCTAGCTCATGAAATTTTGTGCTTGAACTTCGATGATGGAGCGTGAGACTTCTAATATTTTCGGCATACAAGATTGTGAATTTAGGTTTAGTCTTTGAAAAGTTATCGAATTTTGTTTGAATTACGCAAGAACTTTCGTGCCAACCTAATATATTTGAGTACTGCTGAAGCTAGAAGTCGACAAACTTAGCAGTGGCGGTCCGAGGGGAGAGGGGGGGAGGGCCCCCCCCCTCCTCCAGAAGGGTCGCGAAATTTAATAAACTCAATAAAATGAGCAACAAAAATGTGCAAATGATTTGCTTATACTTGAAAATAATTCAAATAATTCTCTAAAATTTTTTGAAAATTCAAATCTGACCCAGCTGACCAATCCCGCTATGGGCTTGTTACAAGCATTGGGCCCGCATCTCCTTCGGACTTATTTTTCACGCTTTTAAAGTTACCTCTACTTGAAAAATGCTCCGTTGAAAACAGCACAAAAGTTGACGAAAAAAGTTTTTGGACAAAAGGAAATGAGTGTAGTTCCCCATGAACCGTTCTCGCTCTGTATACATATAGACGCGTGTGGCCAGTAGCTGGACGAATAACACCGAAGGATTTACGCGGACGCATTATGGTTGGGTCTAATACGTGTCGACATCTATACACCAGTGACGGACCGAGGGGGAGGGATGAGCCTCCCCCTCCCCGAGAATGGATGCAAAAGTTTTGAAAATTACATATATGGGTTATAAAAATGCGCAAGTAATGTTTATTCGTGCAAACATTAAAATGATTTTTTAAAATTTTTTAAAATTCAAATCAGCCTCGTAAAAATTTTTTTCGAAGTTTGGGGGTTGAGGACTCGCAAAAATTTTGAACCAGGCGCAAGCCACGGGCCTCAAATACCTGTAATAAATATATAACATTCGATTCAACTGGCTTGGCTTCGGGAAGGTGGAGCTTTGTTTGTGACCTAATTAAGGCGCTCACACCCGCGACACACGTCTCTCTTGCGCGAATGCTCTCCGATCATTACCTAGCCTCAATTAGGTCACGAAGCCCCGCCTCTCCGAAGCCAAGCAGTTGAATCAGATGGTACCCTTTGATTCAGCGGGATTAGCGGCTCGAAGGCGGGGCTTCGAGGCCCATTCAAGGCTCGAGAATAATCAGAGAACACGCTCGTGAGAGAGACGCAGACTGCGTCGCGGGTGCGAGCGGCGGCCTTCCAACCAGTCTCGTTAAATCAAAACGTAAATACAGGCAGACAACAAGCTTTACATATAAGAGAATTACCATGAAGACCGCAGCAAAACTTGTGAATCCTTCCTCTTACTCCACGGCAAATCTGTATGAGTAGTTATCAAGCTTATCACCTGATGAGAGGTACTCCAACGGTACAATGAATGGGACAGCTCTTAACCTTTTCAACCCTGGACATGAGATGTGTAATGTGTGACTAGAAATAGAAGCATCATGATGAAACATTCAAACATAAACAACATTTTTCGAAGAGCGCTTTGCGTGATGGATCACTGCCTGTCTGTCTTTCTTTCACAACTGTCTTTTGTCATTTCACACTTCAAATATCATAGATGTCATCTATCATAATTTCGCAATCCTCGCGTTTATTTTTAGACGTCAATAATCATACTCGTCTAATTCAAGTTGAGGGTTTTGTGCATGACTGTAATTTTGAGTTATGATCACAAGCTAGGGTGGGGAATGAACATGAGCGAAAAGCATATATCTACACCGCCTGAAAAATTTTGAAAACAAGCAAAAAAATTCTATTATAATGTCCTGTCAAATTCCTACATACTCTCTGGGCAGTTGTTCTTCTGATCCTTCTGAAACTTATTCTTAAGATGCAACAATCTGCCCTATCTTTACTGCAAGATATACGCAGAATGCTCAATTCCTACCAAAATTACCATTGCAGGAAACGATAAATCTGTCCCTCGAGCACGAACATGATCCTGACCACGATGAACATCACCATGACCATGATGATCACCACGACCATGATGACCACGTGGGAATTTAAAAAAAAATTTATACCTCATTTGAAATCAGTTTTTATATACTTTGCTTCAGGTGCATCAAAATGAAACAGTCGGCTCCGATATTCCACATTGGTTAGCTATAACATCGGAGCGGAGAGTGCTCTTGAGACTGTCAGCTATTTTACTTCTCATCTATTTCTTGTATTTTCTCGAATTTGTGTGCTATTACCGGAAGTATCACCATGTATGTGCTTACAAGGGAAGCATGTTCAGTCAAAGTGGCTTTAGATGGGATGTAAGTGCTGTTGAAGAGCCTAAAACGCTGATTAATCTGGTTTTTTTATCTGCGGAAAGTTTGTGGACGAGGACTTATGAGAGTGTAATGGAACAAAAAATTGACCGATTGGCTTGTGCGTTTAGGATAAAAAAAGTTGCTATAATTTTACTGAATATGGCCCCAGGCATACTTCACGCGATTTCAGTCGCCACGCGATCTGGCAATTTTCCAGATGTTTTCAGATCCAACACTGGCTGATTACAAATGCATAGCCAGTATAACTCTCGTAAACTGATATAATGCCCTACTTTCTTACATTTAAAATACATCCACGATCGTTAGAAAAAGCATCACAAATAATATTGTCCTGTTTGCACATTTGATTTTTGATCTGATGTATGCTCATAACTCCTCGTCCATAAACGATTCGCAGATAAAGAAGGCATGCACTTCAGTAGGGCATACATCCGGTCTGAAAAGGCCTCTACGACTAAGCATGCTTCCCTCGTCATTTCTATCACTAGAAAGACTTTTTATTTGGTTCTTTAGGTCTCGCAAAGCAAACCCATCACTTCCAATCCTAGAGAGGCTATAATAACGCAGTGTAACGAAACTCTCACCAACCACGCTTATGCGTGTCCTGCGCCAAGCAACGAAGCGCTCGTCACACCCAAAAGGTAGGCAAAGGCACGACTTGCCGGATTGATCAAGTTCTTAGCGAAAGAATTTTCAGTGCGTCGGATAGTGACTCGATCAATGACGTCAGTGACAGAACGGTCGTCTGCTGGGGACTGACGGTTAGTTCGGTTGCAGAAGCATTGCTTTCGCTTGTCAATGTCAGTCACTTAAAACTAGCTGGCAAACGATTTTTGGTATAATCAGATAACTCGTAGTCAAAGCACGAAAACTTCCACAACTTTTGAGCATTAAGCTTGATTATCTCTAGGATTTTTGTTCGGAAGTTTCGACCAACCCTGAACCATTCTGAACTGGGTTCTTGAGTTTTCTTTGTTTGCGTAAGGTATTTATAGAAAAAACTACAGAATCCTAGCATCGACTGAGTTATGGTTCCGCTGTTGCTTTTCACTAATTTGGAGATAAGCTTCAGTTTTGCGAATTTACTCGTGACTAATTTTTGAAGTTTGAATAAGTTAAGAATTTATTACTTCAGTAAGATTAAGCACGGCTGTGTTGGAATTCAAAATGCCCCTACTTGGCCTATTCTTACACTTGTAGTTGATTAGTTGATGCATCTTCGAATATCAGGCAATCTGTTTTCTTTCTCTCAAAGCAGTGTCCGGGCAAAAGTCGTTTTTAAAAATTGTGCTTACCCGGACCTATTCGCTGTGCTGAATCTGAAAATCGCACTAAAGAGCGTGAAAAAGGCCTTTAACGCAGGAGGGCAAACAGTAGGTGGGCGCTTAACCACTGTGGATTCACGCTCCCAGCTTCCGAAGCGATCTTCTCGATTCCGATAGCCGCGCTGAGATCGCCACGCCAAGTAACACAGCCAGTTAAAGTTCGCTATGTGTTTTTGTACAGCTTTTGTCAACTTTATGCCGCTCAAAGCTTGACAAATTTGGACATTCGAACGCTCACAACTTTTCGGAGAGTTGTTCCGCAAAATAGGAAAACAGATGTGATGTTCTCGCTTCATTCGTCAATTCAACAATACAACCAATTGGGTATCCTTTCCTTGAAAGGCGAAGTGCAGAAGATCAATGAAACGTAGATCGCTGTCATCACTAAACTAATCAAGTTTTCGAGAATCTGATTCTGCTGCTTTATTGCTTTGGCACTTGGCCTTGAAGAAACAGCTCGGCAAATCGGGCTCTTGTCAGATTTTGGTGCTGCTAGGTAGTAGACGTAATCGTGGCCTCCATCACATTCTCTGTTTGCTAAATTCTGGAAACATGCTCAATTTCCTAACATTAACTTCCGCTCAATGGAAGTGGGAGAGCTGCTGGAGCTTTGAAAGCCCCTTTAGGACTTAGATCATTATTTTGAGGATGTGATTGAGGTTAAATGGAACTGAAGGTCTGCTATTTATCAGCACAAGAAGAAAAGGTTCACTTTGCTCAGCCATCTAGTCACCTTTAACCCCTCCATATATTTCGAATTTGAAGGATCAATAGTTTTCTTTGTATAGCATATATTTGTTATAGCACACTTTTAGTCTCGAGCTTGTGTCATTCTCTTTGGTGACGGGCTACACAATTTTGTGGATGGAATTGCTATAGGAGCTTCATTCACATCCTCGCTTCGGCTTGGCGTTGTGACAACGATTGCCGTGGTCTGTCATGAGCTGCCGCATGAACTTGGTAAAGATAAAAGTTGTTGTTCTATGTATTTGCATGAGTATTTCAACCCTTAATCTATACTGACCACCATTCTTTGCAGGAGATTTGGCTGTGCTTCTTGATTCTGGACTTTCCATGGCGAAAGCACTAATTCTGAACCTTATCTCCGCACTAACAGCCTTTATAGGCCTCTATGTTAGTATTGCTTTCGGTGAGTAGTTCCTTTATTGTAAATTTGCCAGAAAATCATATATTTCTTTGATACCAATGACTTCTGTGAATTAGTGGGCATTAATCACCATAAAGCAAAAAAGTTTTACACACCCGTTAACTTCCTCTTTGAATCCCTGGACAATAATACCTCAAATATATGAGATAATTGCGGAGTTTAAAAATATGAGAAAATTTCTGGATTATTTCAGAATTATTACAATCGAATCTAGCTGTCAATTTTCTGTTCTTTGCAGTGATTTAACGAAGCATCAACAGCCTTTTATCACGCTGTGTATAGTTGCTCATTATTTCATATACTTTCGCAATGGGCAATACGGGGCTTAGCATAGGAATTATCAAAACTTTTTTGGAGAAAAAAGCAGAGGTAATATTGTAAAAATGTTGTACTTCCACGGCCTCCCAGTACTAACTTGCATCAAGGACGGTATACTACCGGGTAGCTCTGACGTTTTCTCTCACAAGCAAGCCAATCTTGAATGCAAGGCGAACAAACGAGATGGATTCTTAACAACACAGAGACAATCGTATGACGCCAAACGTGGGCTCTGGGTGTACAGCACTGGCGGTCCCGGATTTCCGTTCAGGGGAGGGAACAAGTTTTTTTGATTGTGACACTCCGATTTTTGGATTGCTTCCCAGTATTTTGCGGGCCCATGGCTCAGAAATCTTGGAAGAAGACCCACTTGAATTTTTCAATCTAAAAAATTGTTATAATTATTTACAATCAAGCCACTTGCACATTTTATAACTTTAGTAGCTTTCGAAGCTTTCGGCCCGTCGCTGATGTACAGTAATATTTCCGACAATGTTATGTAGAAAAATACTCAAGATGATAGCAGAACCCATTACGTTTTCCAAAACGCGCTATAACGACTGGTAATGATCATAAATTCTGTTAAATTTACATAATTTTCGGAGCTCCATCCTACATTTTTCAAGCGGTCAGTAATCTATCTTCCTGCAAGGGACCGTTTCAAATCATTTTCTCTCCTTTTTGTTTGAGCCATAATTTCTTTGATAGATATCAAGCCTCACTGCTACACTAGAGATTGAAGCGCTCACTTTTTTTACTATTCGCATACTAAACTTCAGTTTTTCTACAACTCCACATCATTAATGCTTTTAGCTGCTCTTCTATATTGCTGTAAGTGCAGTGATTTGGGTCGTCTGTTGCTGGTTTACGCTATCTATTCCAAAGTGAAAAGCGTCAAAATGGAGGGAAATCTTCAAAGATCGAGTTCTTGGAGCATGAAGGCAGTGTCCGGGCAATAGGGCGCGAAAACGGTAAAAAAGGGCTCTAACGCAGGAGGGGATTCAGCAGGTGGGCGGGGTCTTCCCCTCTGTGAATTCACGCTCCCAGCTTCCGGAGGATTTTTTTTTCAATTCCTCTAGCCGCCCGGACATTTCCACAGGCTAAGTGCGAACATTTGACTTGAAATTGGAACCGAGAAGATCGCTCCGGAAGCTGAAGCGTAAATTCACAATGGGGAGGACCCCGCCCACCTTCTGATTGCCCTCCTGTGTTAGAGCCCTTTTTCGGCGTTTTCGCGCTCTCCAGTGTTGATTTTCGCATTCAGCACGGGGAATAGGCCCGGGTACAAAATCTCAAAACCGAATTTTTGCCCGGACACTGCCTTTAAGCTAGAAGGGGACCTCGCTTCAAATGCAACCCTGTGTTTTGGCTACCGTTACCTGCTACTTTTTCTTGAAGGCACATCTGATAAAATCAGAGCAAAAAGAACAAAAGATTTGGCGTCTTTAATAGGCTACGGGTCAGGAGTTACACCTCGCGCGGCGGAAGTTCGCCGTGCTCAGATTTTGTGCCTTACAAAAACTCTTCGGTGCTAAAGTGGCACGGCGCCAGGTAGGGGGGGGGGTGAAGGGAAGGGTGGCAGCAGATACATGATTCGAGGCTATAAGAACACTGCACCAGGAGTAATGACGAGAGCTGACTCTTGTACTGCTTGACGTCACGTTGCGCCACCGCTTCGCTACAAATCGTGACTCCTGACCCGTACCCTCTCCTCTTCAATATCCTCTACGGGCATGCACCAAACGCACTCTATGGTCGAAACGGCTACTGAGTGCGTGCGAGCGTTTTGCAGTGACCTGCGGGGGCCAGCCGATCTTCAAGTTAGTACTTTTATCCTTCCTTTTATCCTTTATACTTTTATCCTTGTTCTGGTACCAATTTACCGGCCCAGGAGGGTGGGTTGATTGACCCAGGGGCTTGAATCTGGATCCGATCAGGTCATAGCGGCGCCTCACTGCGATACTCGTCCTTATGGTAAAGTTTTGATGGAAAAATCATCCCTAACATATCTCTCAGGTTAACCTAATGCTACAGATTTCGTAAGGGGCAGGAGACAATACATTCTTTCCATAACTGTTTTTCAGAAAAACTCTACATATAACAAGACATAATGTTTTTTGAAATGAATACTCGTGCACTCAAATTCAATTGCAGGAGAGTGGAAAGAAACGCAGATGTGGTTGTTAGCTATCAGTTGTGGCATGTTCATCTACGTTGCATGGATTGACATGGTATGTACCTCAAACAACTAATGAATATGTCGGATAGTGTGTAGCTCTGACGTATAAATGAACATTAAATCATACATTTTCGCAAAAATTTTGTTTTTTTTTGTTTTCTTACATCTAGAGATGAATTGTGCTTTCCAGCTAGCGCATTTGAAACATGACGGAGTACATATGGACCACTGGATGATGTCAGTTTTCTTGCAATATTCTGGATTCGTTGTGGGCTTTCTTTCTTTATTCTTACTGGGCTGGTTCGAACATGATCTATTTGAATTAGATTGATTCAACTCTTGATTATTTTTTGAAATTTGACGCATTGCTGCAGCAAGGATGAAATACATCAAACGGGGCTGTATTATCGAATTTTATTTTTATGTTGATGTGCCTTGATTCTCTGGTAGTTTTGATTCATCAAATTCTGTATACTATGTATGCATCATGTCTCTTCAGTGCTTATTAAGAAACGAATACAGCATAATAAAGTATTTTTAAGTCCGTTTGAATTGTATTGAACGATAACGAAAGATTAAACATCACATTGAAAGCGTGGAATGCGACGTGAACCAAAGCCGAAAGTCAAATGAATTATGAAGTGAATCAAATGTTGGTCTTAATACAATAATATTGAATCGGTATTCACCGTTCGTGGACCATGTGAATGTACTAGTTTTGAGGCCAAATTTGATAAAAAGATAAAAGATAAAGAATAAAGAAATCGACGTATGATACCCTCCTCGGACATGCGTCGAATACACACCACTTCATTGTCGAAGAGGCTAATAAATGCGTGCGGACCTACCACAGTGATTTGCGGAGGCCGATTACCATTCAGCGCTTTTATTCTCCCCTAATACCATTTTGCCGACTCCGGAAGGTGAAGGGCTTGGTTGGCTCAAAAACGAGATTAAACCTACGTCCGATCTGGTCTTAAAATCTGTCCCAATTTCTTTTTTCGTTGACTTTTCAATGTGGAGGTTGTTAGATGAACACGGAGGTAGTCAGTTTTGAAAAGAAATCAAATGTAGGAGTGAACGGTAATTCGCACACAGATAGTGCCGTGTCTTACCCGTTCCTACATCTACAATTACGACAAAACTAGTTAATTAATTGGGCACTTTCAGGAGAAAACGCTGTTCTGAGCATCTCAAGAAGGTTTAGGACAGGTCCTCGAAAGGTCGACATTGTCAGCCATTATTTTCAGTGCACCTGTCCCGAGCAGGTATGGCTCGCTAGCTAATAGTCTATTATTACGTTCAATAAAATCCATTCATAAGAAGTGGAATAAATCCCGTGACATATTACGTAGTTCCAAGAGTTTCTTCCGTTTCATCGATCTATTTAAGAACGCTTGGGATAAAGATGAACAAACACTTCAAAGAGTATTCGATGCAGCTTTTTCTCCACTTTCCAGCAGTCAAGATGTGCCACCTTCGCCTTTATGGTTGCTAATTAAGATAGTTGCAGAGGTTTTGAACCCATGTTTTTTTACCACGCTCAAGTTTGGCCATTTTCTCACATTTTCTCAGAAGAGTTTACTCAGCAGCTGGATAAAGCAAACAAAGTGCAATACTATAAAATTTTTGACATCCAATTGGCTTTTTAGAATTAACAAAATTATTTTACTGATGCAACAAATTCCTCACAGACATCAACGGGCAAGCAAGTCGGGCGTTGTTCGATGCGGCTTTTTTCCTATTTCTGGTGAAAGTCTTTCTTTCTGACTTGTGAAACTTTCCGAAATGAAATCATCCAAATTGTGAATTCTTGGACACGCCCATGGGTGTACCCGAAATTTCAATAATCGATATCTCGAAGCAGTGAAAGGTCTTTGCCTAGTAAAATTAATAGTAAACCCGGGTGTCGTATTGAGTTGTTAAAGAGGAAACAGCAATAAATTCGCTCACGATGTCAGCTAAGCCCTTTATGCAGGTTACAAGCACATTAAAATAGTGACCTATCATTATATATCTCACTTTAAATACTTACAGTAATCATAGTAAGGAAGTCCTGCCCATAATCAGTATCATTTTCGTAATCAGCATGCAAAATAACCCTGTGGACCAAACTTAATGAACTCTGAGGTTTCCAGATAAAGGGCAACCCAAGATGATCATTTTCAGACACGAGTAAGTTTGATTTGAAGGTGATTTAACTTCCACTTTCGTGGCTTCTTGGTGGGTCCGCAGCACCTAGATTTTACTCGAGATAGTAGTGCGCTCGCTCTCTTAACTCTTAAGACGCATCTAGCCTAAACTTAACCTAGCGCGTAAGAAACAAAATAAATCACTGACATTTCATCCTCATGACACAAAAAGAAACAAATAAACACTGATAAAACAGCTACTAAGTTACTAGTCAAGATGGAACCCTAACACGGGACAGTGCCCCATTCTGTGTTACCGATAGTGCGCGTCTTCAAATACAAATAACAAATATGCTCTCGAGGCTTCACCTATACAGACCCGCCACGCTCGCCGATTAACAGGCACGACAGCTTCCCGCTCCCTTCACGAGTTCTTAATAAATCAATCCCAAATCCGACTTTAATTCCAATGTAGTATAATTCCGGTACGCTCGACCATTGCTGCGAAAGTGGCATAAAAGGCGGGAACTAAACTGTCAGGCACGAGCACAATAGGAAGAGAAAAGATTATCGATCAAATGAAAACAGACAGTATGAGGCGCCGTCGCTACAGTCTGCTCCAATTGGGATCAGGCCGAACCGTCGGCGTAATGCGCGCTCGTAGTGCTAGCGGTCTGCGCTGCATATGCGCGCTGCCGGAGAGAGCCAAAGGATTGAAGAGAGAGCAGAGAAGCAGGCTGTGGGCGTGGCCGCGAAACCCTAGCGACGCGGACTCTCGTCATGCCAGTTTTGGCCTGGCTGGGATTGAGGCAGACTGTATATAGCTCAGACTGTATATAGCCTTTTGCCTGGCAAGGCGCCAAAGAAAAAGAGGTCCGGGGGCGATTGCGGCATGAGAAAGTACCGTAATCGTCGCCGGATAGCGGGGCAGCAACCGGTGCTCCCGGCCTCCTATTTCCTGACTGTGACGGTAAGCGCATTTTGCCGTTGAGAATGAAAAACACAGGCTAGTTCTGCTCTGCCACTGGGCTTATCCCAACTTCGCGATAACCTTCATTTTTGACGCTCTATCTCTAAACTATCGAAGATATGGTGCAATTTTTTGAGTGGCTTCGATTGCTTACATCAAACGGTGAGAACTCATAAAACCTCCTTGTAAAGCTTGCTTTTCTCTTCATATGGTGTCGTTCAAAATATTTTTAAGATTCGCCTCGTTGCGGTGCCTTATTAAATAAAAAAGCGATATTCTCTTTTCTACTCAACCAACCTAATAGGATAACTTAGTGGTTTTACTGTGAAATGTTCCATATCCCGCTCGAATTAGATAGTGATAATTTAAGTAACAAAGTATTACAGTATAACATTTATTGAACGAACCGTTGAATGAACCGTAGTGACAACATCATTAGTAATGAGAGACCCTGAGAGATGACTTATCGCAGCAAAATGATCTTATTCAAAGCCTGACCAAGAATTTTTTGTATCATCCAAACCGTTGCCCGAGGTCTTCTTGCGTATAGCCGATGTCTTGCTAAAGAACTTGCTTGAATTGTTTTGAAAGAAAACTTTACTGAAGTTCAAACAATTTTCGTCAACTTAAGCTTTAAGCAAATATCGAAAAAAGAGCAAATCATTGGGGCAATGCGATAATGTGCTACAACATAATCAGAGATATTAACAAGCACTTGAATTGCCTGCAAAAAATGGCAACGAACGTAGTCACTAACAAGGTGACCCGTAGGTTTCATGCAATATTTCAAATTGATCGCAAGTAGACTATACATTGCCACTTCGAAAATATGCCATTGAGAAGAAAATGATCGTATATAAGCAAAGAAGAAATTAGCACCAATTGAGAGCCTTACATCTACACGTGCAGGCTAATAATACGAAAGCTTGAAATGGGCATTCCTGGGTTAGTAGAGATGAACGGATGCACTCGTAACAAAGCGTTTGAAAAGATTAATATTGACATATAAGAGTTAATCCTAATCACCTGGTTTTGTACCAGCTATTAACAATTTCGCCGTTATCATCAAACCAAGCAATATAACCGCAGGTAGCTTTTCCTTTCAGGCCGAATAGATCTACTCGATCACAGCGTTCACCGTAGATTTCAGATGAGTTTTGTGCCTGCAGATAACTCATTAATTCTACTAAAGCTTATGAGTAAAAGTGTACCTTCAGTGTGAAATGATTGATCGAGCAGTCAATGGCTCCACATTTGCCAATGTTATCATATCTGCAGTAGATGTTATGTGCCGTATTAGCACCCATCCAACGACCAGACCAAGTGCACTCTGTAGGATCTGACCTGAAAGAGAATGTAAAATGCTATGCAGTATATCCATTTTCTCTGCAAAATTAGATTTAGGCTATTAGAGATAAGCAACCGCATCGTCCTTTCTTATCTGATTAGTTATGCCGACAAAAAAACCCATAGACAATCAAAATGAGATTTCTGGATGCTCTAAGTACTACTACCCAAAAAAACCAGGTTGACGCTGGAACTAAATCTAGAATGTGCTTTATGATGTTCGCCCTTGTCCGAAGTAAAAATAAAAGTTACACTCACTTGCAACAAAACCGCTTGTGAAAGTAGTCACCAAGTACCGTTGAGCAAGGTTTACCGAAACTATCGTCTGGTACGCAAAAGCCGCTGAACCAGTTGTTAGAGCATCTGAAAATAGCGATGGTTCTCGCCCAAAGATAAAGAACTGGAGGTTCTTACCTTCCATTGTGCATTCTTATGTAGTCGTATTCAGACGGGCAAGGAAAATTGCATAGTGGTGCCGTACCAAACCATGTACAACCTCCTTCGGATTGGGATGGATGGAAATTTGTGAGCTCCGAAACTGTCCGAGCAGTCATTCCTTAAAATTCATGCATTATCAAGTAGTATGATAACCCTGACTTTTTGTTGTTTTATGGCAAATTTATGCCGTGTGTAAATCCTGGCAAATCATCTTTGAATGAAATTACTGCAAAGTTTTCGTTTGATTGTCGCGTAGGAATGACATCAAATTTTGGAAATGACGAGTAAAAAAAGATTCGAAAGCGCATCCTAATGAAGCTTCACCTCTCATTTTCAGCAGCTACATTCATATTAGAACCTTTGTATGAAGTGTGATTAATTGCAAAGGAACAATGCTGATATTCGTCTAAGAGTGAGTCTGCTTAACTTCTCAACTTTTTCTATCGAATTCCCCGAATCTGGAAGTTACGGCCAATCAAAAAAATTCACGCCCTATGACTAATTTTCGAACTTATAAAAGATTTTTGATCATGAAGTCTTTATCTGCAAATGCCCTTGGTAACATCTGAGAAAAAATGAGCATTCAAAAGAGGGAATTTAGAGAGCTCGTAAATAACTTTCATGCAACAGTCTTCACTGTTGTCTCCAGTCAACTACCTGTGATTCTTCATCACGCACTTACATTGTGACCTTAACTAATGATAATTTTTTCGCGATAATAAAGTTTTTTTTAATTAAATGACAACCGCAAAAACTGCTCGAAGAGCTTGTGGAACACGCAATATGACCCTAGCTGCCACTTTCTGGAGATTTTCGTTAAATATTAAACCTCATCTTGAACATACTTATCAAGCTGTATTTGAGCTTGGAAAAACTATCTCGATTTTATTGTATTTGCAAATACAGGTCTTTGCCTCAACGAGCTCGTAACCTTTTACAGAAAGCGTCCGCAGATGTGGTAAACAGGTTGTTGTGACCTCATACAACCATATCCGTATATGTACACGCACTTAAAGAGTGTGTATACACCGTTAATTATCTCTCCAACAGTAGCGTATGGGGCTACCTTCTCAGTTTTGGAACACGGACAGATCATCGAACAGATTTCGAGCCAAAGATCTCAAAGGGCTCCATGAAGTAAGAAAAGTTTGCCAGCGGCACCACACATCCATAGCGGGTAATTTCAAAAATGTAGTTTGCAAATTATTGAAATACCATGCTCGAAAATCTCATTGGAAGTTTCAGGCTTTTGGAATCTCTCTGAATTACTAAAAGATAAAGACGCCATAGTGTTAAACAGGAAGTTTCTGTAATTCGGAAAGCGAAAACAAGCGATGATTTGGTTCACACTATAAGCTAAGACAGCCTTGATATGTACTTCAAGGAATAGAGGAAATTTCAAGACGACACAGTTTTAAAAAAAAACACACATCATAGTTTTGAGAAACTCTATTTCATAACAAACTCGAAACACCCACTTCCACGAAAGGTTTTTGTTGTGTACTGTTCTCCTGTCTTCAAAGCTTTAGCTCTTTCCAGCTGCACAAGCAATTTATTCTGCGGAGAGGATGTTTGCTTTTGGAAAGCTGAATCATTAAATTGATTTTTTGTCGTTTAATTCTCCCACAGCTATTGCGATAATGATTATAGTACTCTCCGTTTGGTATAGCTTTATAGCACCAAGTGACTGAAAATTTAGCGAAGCTCTCACATGTTTCAATCAAACTTCGTTTTAAGAGTTTGCAGGAAGAGAAAAGCCGAGAGTTTCTTGGAATATTTTGAGTTTATTTCAATGCTAATGAGCAACCTCAAGAACTAAAACATATTCTTCCCCAAAATGATAATGTACTTTTAGTGTTCACCTGGTGATTGAACAAGATGCACAGAGTAGCAGCCAACCTAGTCAAGTTATTTGTATGACGTATCAATTCGTTTTCCCTGCTCAGTATGCGCATAAAAATTCATGCATAACTGATGTACACGGTAAATATCTTGTTAGAGTGTGCATGTCATAGTGCAGAGTGTCGAAACAGTTTTAACTACTCGATTACTGATAATTCTCACGTCTCATCGCCTTTCTTATGGGTCCCGTAACATAAAAAAGTTTTTCCATTACCTCACTGTATGGAAAAGAATCATCACTCTTCAGACTGACTATTGTTTTGATTGCCTTGCAGAGCAGAGAGCAGAGCAGTCCCTTACCTCAAAAAAGCCTCCAAAGAGCTAAAAGTAGTACTCGATTGCTAATAACTCTCAAAACGTTGACGACCAAGCCATTTTGGGCAAACTCCCGCTAACATTGCTTGCGCATTTGGCGCATGCATACGCGGATATGCACGAAATCAATATGTGGGAGTCTTCTTGACAGTAAATCATGAATCTTGCGAAGTTTTTACAATTCACATGCATGTCACAGAGTCTTAAGAGGAGTACACATATGAAGATGTTTTGCGTCAATTTCCCTTTCAATAAATTATCCAATGAGGATACAGGTGGAATGTCTTTTTGAATAAAGCGTTTCATTACTGGGTGTTTTTTGTCTGAATTTATCCAAGATTACCCAAGCACCAATACAGACTTTTCGCCTTCTCAGAAGAACATAGTATAGAATGTTTCGGAGCTTGCACTTCGCTATCTAGAATTACAGAAAGCTTCAAAAGTTAATAGCCTTTGTTCAGTTACCAAAAACGATAAAGATCATGGTAATCTGCTACGGTTCGAACCCATGAAGACGGAAATTGATTGGATACTTATTGATCCTCGTGTTTTTAGAATCTTGCAGGATGAAATCAAAGCAAAGAATGACAATGACTGAATATTAATACACAACAGAGTGCAGAATGCTGCAGAATACACAAGCGAAAATTTTCTGTTCACTTACCAATCATTCCAGTTACGACAGCAGTTGCAATAGGACCAGATGCCAGGCCGAGATCGCGTTTCCTCCTACGCGTTATCCTATTTGTATCCTTTATTCGAGGATCGAACGGTCCCCAATTATGGTAGTCATGCGAGAATTTCTCCACAGTATAGTTGGCGATACGAGCACGCATTTCGGCCTCATCTTCCCAATGTGTTGGGCCTTCCGGAAGTCGAAGCACTGAAATTGCAGTCGTAAATAAATTGTAGATAATCTTTTTAATTTCCTAAGGATTTTTCAGTATTATTTGTGCTATAAGTGACGAAATAGTTTCACAAAAACTTTATAATGTGGCTTTTGGCATAAAAGTTATGTAGTTTTTTTCCAATTATATCAACTGCCGCCACGAATGCGAGCCAAGGCCATCTTTTTCCAATAATCCAAATTTCCAAAATGGATGCGCAAAATGACGGGTATAAGCCACTGCATTGATTGTAATACGAAGCGATCAATTGAAGTTTCCAATGCAGGGCGGTATTTAATTGATTTAATCCCATTTTTCGAGTACAAAAAAGGAGTAAACTTTGCGTCATACAAGCAATATCTGAAGTCTTATTTTTGAATTACTTGAACTTCATATAGAAGTGTATGATATATGACACTCTCGCTACATTTCTTGCATTCTACTTCGGGCAGAATTGGAATGAAAACGAAGTTTTTCAGAATTAACTAGAATTACCAAATTACTAATGGTTTTGCTCAGTTCCCTCCAACGCATCAAGTAAACTTTCTCAATTCTACAGTCATTTTCGCCCCAGTAAACAAAGTTAATAAACTATCAGTTAGCGCATTTACCCACCAGCTAAAAAAACTCGCACTTTTTCTCTTTCCCCGATCCTACATGTCGTTGGGCTTCCTATAGCAAAAATACGAAAGCCGATAAGTTACATGATAATTACCAACGTTCATAAGATTACCAATTATTATCGCTTACCCTTCTATATCATATTCTAGCAGAAAAGCTCAGTTTCTGCGGAAAATCAATTAAATCTACAGGAAAGCTAATTCGGAAACCTTCAGCTCAATACACTGACTCCTTTGAGCATAGTGTCTCAAACTGACTAACAATAATCTCCTATTATATCAAACAGCCTTTACGCACTATCGTACTACTGTAGTCCTAATTTGCCTAAATGGGTTGTGATGTTACACAGCAATGGCGGCATTTAGTGTGACCGAGGTGCGAGCAACTTCCCAATGCGCATTTCCGTGATCTGTAAAATTAAACTGCATGCTCTTCAGTCTTCAAGTTACATAACTAAATGGAACGTATATGTGTGTGTAACAGGGTATGTGCACGATTTGCATTAACTAAACTTAATTTAACTTTGAAATCTTTTCCAGTTTATTGATTAGTGCATATGAAACATTTCTATTCGTGACCAAATATTTTTCAAGGAAAAAATTACTCAAAGCGTACGAAATCGTGAACAATTCTTTAACCACTATGAATTGCATTCAATTCATTGCTAAAAATTTTTTTCACAGTCAATATTGAATCTCAATTAGCAATTAGCTTTTGCTGTTAAGTATACAAAAGGCACTACTTGAAACGTAACAGTGCTTTGCGAGCAGGGCTCGGCAAGAGTTGGCTTTTCGAAAGTCCAAAAAACGAAGCCTCCCTTGACTTTCGCAAAAATTTACGAAGTCCCCTTTGACCCTAAACTCTAAACGTAAGAAACCCCTCACCCCTTCCCCCACCTCCCACACCCCCCGCCCAAAAAAAACAAAGCCTCCACCAAAGGATGTAACCTAGGGTGCGCTTTTTCGGCCACAAAAACGACACCCCCTTTGCTTTCTGTTCCAAAAACGTTTCCAACTTGCTTATATGCCACCTGTGCCGAGCCCTGATTGCGAGTATATGGCGCGCCCGAGGTGTATTCAAATAAATAAATAAATAAATAAATATGACAAGCAACGTTAGTGCTACTTTGGTGTAACCATAATGTAAATTTGTTATCTATTGCAGGACATGAAGTAAGCACAAGGTATATAGATATGAAATATTGAAGGCGCGTAAGTTGAAGTTTTTTCATCCAGCGAAAAATTCCGAGAATGGTCATGCGCCCGATACGATCCTAATTTTTGATACCAGAGTCATTGAAGTTCATAGTCTCGATATGAGCAGAAGAAAAAGCGTGTTTAAGGTACAATTTGCGACAGAGCACTATATCTAGTGGTGGGAGTAACAGCCAGCCACCGCTGTCGCAAGCATTAACGTTACCTTTACACCCACACATCACAAAACTAGTTTTATCATAGCGCGAATTAGGTGAAGTAGCACAGAATGTATTGATCTCACCACCTACAATGTTTGACTAGTGCAAAAGAAATAGGTAAACTTTGTGTGAGTGGTTTGAAAAAACTCAAATGACTCATATTTCAAACATCTTGGTCTCTACGACACCTGATAGTACAGTAAATATAGACATTCTCAAGGAGGCGCAGTAGTTTCTTTTAAATTATAAACAATCTAGTTTTTTTTCATGACCGAAAATTCAAGAGATTTCCATTCTTCCCATTTGCTAAAACAGAGGAGAACTTTTCGACATTGATGACTCAAACATAAAAAAAGAGACAAATGTGGTCAGCTAAGCTTTTGATCAGTCACGGACCGCTAATCCCATAAAAATAGTCTCGCCAAAGATTATGGAAATTTTTGTGCATTATCCGTGTAAAAAAACAGTAGTTGAAGGAATGTTCGGGAAAAGTTGTAAAATAGCGCATGATCTTGACCTGTTCCGTTCATTTTATGAGGATGTCGGACCAATTAACGCAGCGTTCAGCGTCGCTATAGATACGGAAAAAAGAAAAGGAAAAAAGATGTAAGAGAGACACGAAGAGCAAAATATGGCAGATAAGCGAAAACTACATCACAAATACAATTTGAGCATTGTGACTACATAGATGCAATAAAGAATGGCTGGCATAGAGCCAGCTGTCGCAGAAAAAGGTTTCGAATGCACCAACAGAGTCTGACAGATGGGGAATCGCAGGGTTTTTACTAAAAAAATGTGGAACAATTACAGGAAGAGAACTTACAAATAACCTCGGCTAGTGCAGCAGTAAGAAGCGTTAATAGAGTGATAAATGGTTCCAGCAGCATTGTCCACAGCTCTCGAGGGAGTGGGAGAACAGCGCGAGTGGGCGTGGTAGTTCAGCGCCAAGGTGCGGCGACAGCTGCTGAAGCATGACTCATGCGTTCGTTTCGGGTACGAACCGGACGGGTTGAGTCAGTTGCTGGGAAACCTGAACTGCTTGGACGGGATTGGTGGGTAGTGCAAGTTGAGTGCTTCAAGAATGCACTACGAGTCTTATTTTTGCCCGAAAAACTAGAGACAACAACAGAACTCAAACAGGAGTTCGAGTACCCGTCATATTACACGAAAGAAAAAATATCGAAATATCTGGTGACGTGGGGAAATAATTTGTTGATCAGGAGGATTAGCGGTTCAGCGAACGCTCAACAGAACTTGTTTTTTCATTGTCATGTATGATTCCCTCTCCCTCTCTATTATGAGCTTCACATCAGAAAGCATTATTAAGAGTCGTTTCCAAAGTTCTACGTTGCTTTGGAATTTGCGACCTCTCACTATCATGGGGTTTCACACGAATTTTCTTGAGAGGGAGAAATCCCCATTGCCCCATTATTACGGGCTCGACAAAGTGGTATGGCTATGTTTTGCTTGTCGATTTCAGCTGGGTAAACAAGAATACTTCAGGAATTGTTGCATAAAATCAAGTTTTCGCCTTCTTCGGAGTCTCAGCGGATGATGACTTCAGCTGATTGAGAGTGAAAAGAGGCTCATAGCTAGACAGCTCGTCATACTTGTAAGTAGTGTGCCCCATTAAAATGTCACATGCCAGCTTTTTGCAGTTTTTTCCTTTACGTTGAATAAAGGTATGAGCGAAAGGGGACCACTTCCGTTAGTTTTCTGAAACTGCAGTCATTTCGAATTGATAAAAAGGCTGAGTTCAAAAAGATCTTTGGTCCTCATATATAAGTTCTATTACCTGGACTTTCTGAAATATTGTTGACGGACCTCTCTCGAAAAGTCATGATTTCGTAGGTAAGTAATAACGATATTGTTTGGAATTAGCAAACTAGCACTTAGGCATATTTCTGAGTCTATATCAGTAGTTCTTACCAAATCCTTGACTGGATCGAGCTTATCGTCCTCCACACAAAACTTGTTTCTTGGCATGTCGTTCAAGTGTGTGTGTTAATCTAGCGTAGAGCATTATTCGATTTAAAAGTATAAGAATCAAGATAAAAATTTTTTCTTTGGAAAGGCCGAACTCAGTTGCTGTCTATCAGAGCTAAGGCCACTTCTGTTAGTTATCCTCATATTTCAGCATGTAGTTGAAGACATTACACACTGAAACTAATGTGGATCTCATCGTTTCTCGTTTACTTCTTCGAAAAGTGGATTTGACTACGACTTGAAAACTGGTGTGATGAGAAAATTTGTGGCCATACATCAATGGTTCTACCCACACCAATCAATGACAAATCGCTTCCAGTGAAATAGAAGCATTTGTAGATATTTTTCAAAATTTATATGAGACATGATACTAAAAGAAGTTATAGTTCACATTTTCGTATTCATGGCTTGCAAAGGATAGAATGCGTCATCTCGCAGGCTTCCAAACAGTTGTAGTCTTCTGATATTCTTAGATGAGTCTGTGATTTTTACGAAAGTTCAAGTCAGAACAGTTGGTTTTTTTTTGTAAGTTAGCGTTGCTTGTCCGTAGAGCATTCTTCGCCTCCGCTTCCGCAGAGTGCTGTAAGTCGCTGTAATTGAAAGGACGCAAAATAAATACCATCAGCTTTTCTCATAAGTTCTTTTTCAAGTTTGACTTTTTACGACAATAGGTAGACAGCAGTGGCGTACCAAGGGGGAGGGGCGGGGGTGGGGGGCGCGACCACCCCCCCCCCCCGAGAACGGGTCGCAAAGTTTTTGAAAGTTACTTACATAAGTTATAAAAATGTGCAAGTGACTTGTCTATTTTTGTAAGCAATTAAAATAATTTTTAAAATTTTTCAAAAATTCAAATTAGCCTTAAAAATTTTTTTCGGGGGCGTGGCTGAGGCCCGCAAAAATGTTGAGAAGCCCCCTTAAAAATTTTTCGGAGTGCGTGGCTGACGTCACGCACCTCCATTTGAAAAGAAATTTTGCCGCCCCCCCCCCCCGAGCCGAAATCCTGGGACGCCACTAGTAGACAGTTATTGCAGAGTACCGTTCGATAGAGCAAAGAAAGCTCGATAAGATGGTGTGTAAGCGTTCGTACCAGCCACAGCACATTACGAATTAGAAGCCGAAACCTGAGAAGTTTTGGATACCTGAAAAATTGAAAAATATATCTTCGCCCAAAGAGAACTTACCAGATCTCAAACCCGCTCACCTATGTATACTACATGTAGGACATTGATAGGAGTTGCTTGTTTGTTTCTGTGCTGGAAAACGAGAAAACTAAAATTTTCAAGTTCCCAAAAAAGGGATGCTGCGCTGTTCTTACTCGGGTAATGGTATACTATAAGTGTTTGGAGGTATAATCACAGATTTCCAGCTCTAGAAGCTCAAGTTCCCAAAAAATATCAAATTTAGCTTTTTTGCTAAGAGGTTTCTATGCTGAAATTAATATTTCCAGAACTGCTTGTATTTTGATGTGATTGTACATCTAGAGGCTTGTAGTATACATTTACCTATGCGAGAATAACGCAACATCGCTTTTTTGAAAGTTTGAAAATTTTATTTTCTCGGTTTCTAGCACAGAAACAAACCAAGCGCGGCGTAGAATGTCTTGTGTGGAGTGTACATGTGTGAGCGAGTTTGATACTGTAAGTTTTCTGGACTAAAATATTAAAAATTTCAAATTTTTTGGACATGCGAAACCCTTCAGAATCCGGCTTTTATATCGCGATGTGCTGAAGCTGGTGCGAACACTTATACACCATCTTATAGAGCTTGCTTTGCTGTATTGAATGGTACCCTGCACCCCAATCATTAAGAAGTGGGTGACTTATTGTCATAAAAAGTCAAAATTGAAAAAAAAACTTGTAAGACAATCTAATACACAGATGCGTTGTGTGAGAGAAAATAAAAAATGATCTCGAATTCCCCAATAACACTGTTTCGCGGAGTGGAAATGTTAAAAGGCCATCACATTTCCCACCAATGAGGAATCCGAGCTCGGCAATTCATCTGCGTGACAGTGCTACCTTTCACACTTTGTGGAAGCCCTTCTCTCATAAGGAATGCTACCTAACTTAACTCGGCTTTTGGTAAAAGGCATATATATTCTGAATCAATTTCAAACGCTGATTCCAAATTTGCTATTCCTAGCTGTCACGCACCATTCCGAAGCGAGTTATGGGCTTGTTCCTACGCAAAATTGGCACACTACTGAACATGAGAAGACTGCCTGTAAATAAAATTTTGGAAGAAAAAGGTGCTGAGGTATTGAAATAGTACAAATTCAAACTTTTTTCACTAAAAAAGCTTAACGCAGGTGTATCAGCACTTAAATGATAATGACGTGATGCCCGTGAGTCGATGAGCATGCCAATTTTGCGCAGGAAAAAGCCCATAACTCGCTTCGGAATGGTGCGTGGCAGCTAGGAATAGCATATTTGGAATCAGGGTTTGATGCTGATTCAGCTCTATATGTCCCTTGCCAAAAGGCCGAGCTAAGTTAGGTAGCTTTCCTTGTCAGTTGCTTCATGCTTTGGTTTTCGTATGACCTATTTGCATCCTAGTTTATGAAACGGCGCCATTACGAATTCCTCACATAATGCTCATAGCATTATCAAAATTTGGCAAAGTTTGATCTAACCTAATCTTTACATTGTATAAATGCTCGCTGTAACTTTCGTTTAACAGAATGGACAAAGCGTTTGCAAAACTTTGGCTTTGCTATCCCACGTCAGTCCAGCAGTGGAGCTCTAGCGACTTGGGAGACGGTCAAGAGGCGCGATTTTTCTGGCTGTCACCAACTTAAAACTTCAGTTTCTCGCTATGGGAGTGTTCAGAAAGTGCCGGACAAAGTCCATCGGCTTACTAGCTGTTTGAAGTAACCATTTGATAAGTTCGACGACTTTTGCTAGAAAACTGACCGAAATAGTTACAAAATTGCTATAAACTGCATTTTCATGGGTTTTTGACCTTAAACAATTTTGTTTTGAAATGATTTTAAAGTGATGAGATCGAATAATTCCCGCAATTCTCTACTATACTTCTTTTGAAATTTCAAATAATCCTGAACTTCATAAAAAATATGTGCTATATGCTGCCCATCTGGCAATGAGAATCGCGCCTCTTGATACAGAGGCGGTTGACAGATGTTCAAAGTGGTAATGGATATGATGACGCATAAACAATTGGAGTAATGCCCTATAGCGCGTCGACTTGAATCGCGTGAAGTATGCTCAGGGCTTCATACGTATTAAAGTTATTTGAAGTGAATTCTAGTTGAAACACACTCTGTCTGTGATTTTTAAAATGACACATTGACGGAAGAAAATCCTGAAGCTACCACCTATATTCTTAATTAGGTTTTACCTAGCCTGTATACGAGTGATTTTTCGATATAAGATAGTCTACGTATTATCATAGCCAAACCTAAGTCCTTGTTAGTCATGTTCCAAAAAAAGCATGATTTCACATAAACGGGACACTGATATTCATCCCTTCAAATATACAGATTTAACGTTCATAGGAAAAAGGGAATTGAGTTTTGAGCGTGCTCATTCTGCAGTGGTAGCACCTTGTGCTCATACACTGAGTAAAGTTGCCTGAGGTAAGTCTTACGAACGTCTGATTTTCATTTTAAATAATAGTGATTTTGATGCATTTTCTGGGAGGCGTCTATATGTGTTAATAGAATTCTGAGAGTAAGACACACCTAAGATCCTCAACTCAACTGTGAGCACAGGTTGCTTACATTGCAGACTTAAACGGAGTGTCCGAGCAAAAACGATTTCTAGAAAATCCACTTACCGGAAGTTACGCGCAACGCTGAATCCGAGAATGCATTTTAGAAAGGCGAAAACGGCGAAAACATACGTTTTCCAAAGCCGCACATTTAAAATTTGACGGTCCCTACCAAGGCAGAGACGCAGAGTCGCTGCGG